ATATACGTATTAATATAATATATGTTATCTAATATATTAAATAGGCCAGAACGTAATAAATTTCCCTTCTCGTTCACTTTTTCTCCGCAATCTCGTTTCAATGATGTTACGACTACATACATATATTAGCTAAACTTGTTTTTTCTTAACTTAGATCCCGTTTTCACTCGAAGCGCAAAAGACTACTTATCTTAAAAGGATAAAACCATAGAAAGAGTCGATCAAACTAGAATCATTGCCTAAATCGTTACGATCTGAATCAGCAATTATCTTAGCACGATCTAGCTTAGCAACCGAAGCAAAGAAAAGTCGTCAAAAACTAGCAGCAATTTTCTTGAACGAACACAGAAACGTTTAGACGGTCCACTGTGTGTGATCCGACTTCAGCTTTGTAAAATCGGATGTGCGACAATTTGGCGATTCAACAATCCGTGAAACGCAAAACGTTTCCTACTAAGAGAGATGGTCTGTGTGGAAACAAGCTTTGAACAGATCGCGATCACTTCACTCGCGAATGAATAATCATAAAACGGAAAAACGCTGCAAAAAAAAACTAAAAATCTAGTATTGTATAGGATGACATTGTGGAATATTAACGAGTTAATTCGTGCGCGATTTCAATTACGCGGCTCTAATGCGCAGAAATGCGGATTTGCACGATGATGTGCCACGCCATGCGCGGTCTAATAATTATGGCTACACGCGCAGAGATGGCAGGAGATAAATTTGATCGATGAGGTGCGGAATACTCATTGATTTGTGTGTAATCTAAATAGCGAAATCGGTTAGACGCGCTAGTGCGCGTTGATGCAGCCTCGAATGCTGTTGCACACAATGTTATTCAAATACAGAAACATAATATAGACATCTTGATTGATGGAAATGTATATTCTGTCAAGTAATAGTCAATGATAACTTATACTGATAAATATCTCACTGGTCACATTGCTCGTACGCTATGCGCATGCTTTTACGTCAATCTGTGTGCGATTGTGTAGCTTTCAGTGTACACCGGTCAGCATTAATGCGTCCGAACTCGTTATTATCATAGATTATGCAGGACAGCTATTATTGAATGGGGAAATGCTGTGTGCTTAATTATCTCTAATTGAATTACTCAATCTTGTGACGATCAATAGTACTATTGAAATAATGTCAATTCGTGCGCAATGCTTACTACGTTAAATATATTAGATAAAAATCGTCGGAATAAAGCCGACATTTTTACAAATTTTGTAAGAGAGAGAAATAATGATAAAGAGAATTTATATAATTTATGAAAAATAGGTACAAGTATAAAAAATTGTGAAATTAAATAAAGAATAAATGCAAATTTAAGGATAGCGCCTATGTCATCGATGTCACGGCATACACTTCAAATGTTAATTAAAAATCAACTTGAAAACAAAAATCGATAGTTGTTTTCTACTCTCAAATTGGACGCACAATGTAAGCCATCATCACGGTAGATTAGATTCATACGAGACGTAGTTCTGTTCTAATCAAATCAGTGAAATCTGTCCTAATTCTTTAAGTAGCGCCATTTCATTCCTGCCTCCGAGATTCTGATTATAATTTGGCGCGTTCACTCTACATTATAAGAATTCCTGATCAAACATAATGATTGACCAAGAGAACAGCTGGTAAAAGTTTTGAGATTTCAAAATGACAGAATAACAAATTATGTAACGGAAAGATGATCATAATTCTATAATATTTCGAATAGGAACGGAAGTAATAAAGAGATGTTACGTATCGACGGAAAAGTAGCAGTAATAACAGTTGAGTTCAAATGTAAATTATATCAAATCAATAAAATTACAAATCGTTGCCAAATTGCTAATAAATAGTGCGAATTTCATATTGCAATCTGAATAAATTACATTTAATTCAAGCGTAAGTTACAAACTGCATAGATATAATCGAATCATTAATTACGTGCTGCTATTAAACCTTGACTCTCGATGCATTTGGAAATAAAAACGATAAAAAATTCAAACTCGTTATAGGGAAGTATTCAGGATGACTGTAAATTATCTAGTTAACCGCGTATATAATCGACACAAGTCGGGCGAATGGAGAAAGGAGGAGGCATCGCGATGGTATCACCGATAATCACTGGCGAATCAATTCCGTTCTCTAAATAAAACAAAAGAAAGGCGATCCTCTCTAGATCGAACGATATATACGGAAGAATGATTTCGTGAATTTCTCAAATTTTTAATTGAGTAAACCATGTTAAATGGATGATATTTTATGTCAAACTAAAAACAAGATAAATATAATAATATCGTTAACCATTAACTGTTTGCGGATAAATAAAAAAGCAAATGATACTTTTATATCCTTTTACCGATTTGACAAATCATAAAAAAGAATGAGTTTTTCAATAACAACGTATTGTTGACTGTATAATTATAAAGTTTCTGTATTAATAAAATGTATGCTGCATCAATGAGTATTCACTTCTCCGAGTGATAGGTGCGTCCCGAGAGACACCAAACATCCTCGGACACGCGAGCGACGATGAGGAACGTTTTAGGTGGGAGGTAAAACTCTCTCTCTAGAGTCCAGCTGATCATTAAAGCTGCTGCTGGCACAGTCAAACTTTCACGCTCGGCGATACGCGAGCTTCACGAGCGAGCAGTTCGCTGTCGCTATCGATTTCAAGGTCCGCGCTTCCGAAACTCGATACATTGATCCCACCGCGAAGTGGAAAAAAAAATACGCGTGCAAGCGTGTGACAGGATGTACTGCTGACTGCGGTCCGTCGAAATCACCGAAAAACCGGGACAATCCGGAAGGAATCAAAACAGAAGAGAGACTAACAAAAGTCGGTCAGAGTGATGATATCGCAGTGTGGCGAGGCCATCACAATCGAATTTATTCGCGAATTAAAAGTCTCGACGCGAAAGCCAGAGCTTTCTTTAACATTTCACTGAAAGTTTCTGTATCTTCAAACAAACATTTAATTATTGAAACCAATAAGTGAATTAGCCAAAAAGAAGACTGCCCAGGCAGTCCGGCGACGTGAAATAGTTTGTGCTCGAGTAACAAGTTTTATGAGACGCGAACAGATTCGGTGATAAATCAAGATAGAGATTTAAATGGTGACAAAAGTTAAAATACAACTGCGAATGATAAAGTCTCTGTTTACAATGTAGATAGATCGATAATTGAGAAGGAGATGATTAATTGTAATTCGCTTTATATCTCGATCTCGAAAGTTTAAAGACAGATTGAGTGACGACATGAGAAGCCTAACGCAGGATGCAGCATCGATCTATCGACTCCCAAGATTGAATTATCAAGACGAGCGATCGCGCATATAAGACGTGAAATATTATTAGTGAAAGTCGCCCGCGCCTGTACAGTTTGAGGATTAAGACTAACGCACGATTCTTCTCAAGAATCGCGTGAAGGGGTAAAGAAGGTCAGACGAAAGGAAAGACCAGAAGATCTTCATCTGACAGGAGAAAGGGAGAAATAATTGAGCGCAAAAATGAGACGGACGGTCTCGAATTTGGCGTTCAAATTTCCGCATTTCGATATCGCGAGAATTTCCTGACGAACGGCAGACAATTTAAAAAATCGAGCATCTCGGGAATGAAAAGTTGTGCGTCATTGTTCTGTTTACCGGACCTACTCAAGCGCTGATTGCACTGAAAGAAGTCGAAGAAATTGAAGTTACTCGCCGAGAGAAAGGTTCCGAAGAAGATACGCGTGAACAAACAGATACACGCGAAGCAGGAAGTTCCTCGAAAGCTATTAGGAGCGAAAAGATTTCTGGAACGATTGAATATTTTATAAAACTGTACTTTTGTAGCGAGACTTCGTCTGCTTTACGTTGCATTAAAATTAAAAAAAATTTTTTTTTAAACAGAAATTTCTCATTATTAGCTTATGTAAAGATATTTTAAACGTGTTATATGCAACACTCTCAGTAAAAATTTAGCAAAAAAAGAATGAAATATTGAAGTTGCCTAAATATAAAACGCACGGAGTAAAAGTACAATAAAAAGCAATTCTTCTGTTCGATACATCTTTGTGCAATTTTCATAGCTTTTCGGTGAAAGCAGTCGAGCATAAAACTTTAATACGTTATATATTGTTTCAAATACTTTTGGTGTTCAAACAGATATCGGAAGTTTGGGTTTCCATTATATAAGTTTGCATAATCAAAACTTACCACGCGCAGAAGCATCAAAAGAAAGTGAAGTTAATCAATATCGATAAAACTGTTTCGTTGCAAAATAAATCATTCCTATTTCTTCGGATAAAAGAAAAGATCAGAACAATTATTCACGGTCAATCCTTCATTCAAAAATCAAAAGAATCTGTGGAAGAGTCTTTTCATAAAATTCCGTAACACGGAGATTATTCTGAAGAATTCCAGCAGCAATTTTGACAACGCAACCGCAACAAAACACGCACAGAAGAAGAGATTATCTCTGAAACTGTACAATTTTTAACTAAACGCTTCTTGGAAGCGAATAAAGATTAAAAGAAACAAGCTTGTCTGCCGCAAGCTACGGCAGATTTTAGAGCAATTTATCACAGACATTCAAATTTCGGTTTTTCTTCTCGGTAGTGAAATAAAATGATAATTAGTCTGACAACCTTCGTTATTCTCATTTAAAGACCGCGTGTGCTTAACTCTGGAACACACGTCTCAACTCTATCAGTGCGTTCGAGACATAATTCTTGTAAGTGCAAAAAAGTACAAAGCAGAGGATATGCGAGAATTCACAACGACGAGACCGACCAGCGATCGAATGTAACAAGAAAGGGTGATTATTCGTGGATAAAGAACGGCTCGCTATTTACCGTGAATTGGAGCGTAAGGGATTTTTTATTCCTACCGGATCTCATCTCGATTATCCGACCGGAAACGCTTCAAAGAAAATACGGATATTTGCGTGTCGCGGCGTTTCTCGCTTTGTCGATGCGCAAAAGAGTTCGTGACGAAAGCGCGCAATCGTGTGTAACGAGGACTGTCCGCGATAAAAGAATAATGCCAGGCCACGAAGCGAGTGTTCCTCTTCAATGAAGGGTTGATTGTGCGTTGGTACGCTATCGCCGTGACATACGCGTGCGAGGGAAGAAAGAGAACTGTTTCGCAGATCGATAACGGACAATATCGCGAGGATGGCGCATATCGCGCATCGACTCGCTCTCCTCGTGGGGTGTTCTCTGCTGATCGAGCCCGTGCTAGGATACAACATCCTGATGGCCACCATGGGTGGTACCAAATCCCACACAGTGCCTTTCATCGCCCTTGGTACGAATCTGAGGTCGCGAGGGCATAATGTCACATTACTGAGCGCTTTCTCCGGTCCTGCGGCAAATAATGGTCTTCATGAACTTGTACCGTCGATTCTCGAGGTGATTTACGATCCACCCACGCGTGCGTGTGTCTCTCATACGGACCCGATAGAATCCTGATCTATCGAAATCATCACGGACAATTGTATCTCGCTTGTCGTTTCTTCTTTTCTATTAATTTGCTTCTTAACTCATTTAATTTTATTACATGCCGCATTTATCGTGCCAGTCCTTGGTTTGCGCGAGGGTTCTGTTGATTATCTTCTTTTTTAGATCTCTGCGTATTTCTGTTCTTATCTATCTATTTCATTTCTATTAAAATAATGTCGTATCTTATATTTAAATGTTATTGCTATCATCATTTCTCAATGCTGAGTTTTATCCCAAAAATCTGTCGATAGAAATTTTTAATTTAAAAAGTTATTCGCAACAGTGTGTTACAAAATTATCTCTTTAAAAAAAAAAGTAACGGAAACTTGCAATATTTTTAACACTTTTTCGCTCTGTGAACAATCTTTGAGAATGAGGAAGTTTGAAACGGCAAACAAGTTTCATAATAAAGTATATTAAATATCATTTTCGCGTTAAATTGCGAAAGTAATTTTCGCGCTGACGTCAGACCAATAGTGCGAATTGTCACAGATATGTTATTTACGTGCGTGTTTATCACCCGTATTTCATGGTAGGCTTACGTCGAGAATTTCACATCCGAGTGGGACCTGGTGGGCGCCAGATTCCGGAACGAGCTTCCGGTTTCGCCGTGGGACGTCATGAGATACGCTTGGGAGTCCTGCGAGTCTCTGTTGCGCGACACGCCGTCGATCGTCGGCTTAAGAAGACCGGATGGCGATCCGCATGCTCGATGGGACGTCGCGGTGGTCGACGGCGCTTACCCCGAATGCCTGCTGGGGATTCTTCACGGCGAAAACGTGCCGACGATTATGCTGAACACGGTAATAAGCCATTTGCCGAACCGCAGAGAACGATTCACGCCGCTATAACCAGCGCGACGAGCTTTCCATTATGCTTCGATTCTCTGTTATAGCTTATCGGCGATAACAGTAAATTTACTTTTATTCGAACCAACAGCGCGTTCGCGACACACAATTATCAAGCAATATTATATTTATAAAAGTCGTATAAAAGCAAAAGCTATTAAAGCAAAAATCGTAGCAATGCAATATACACTGCAGTATTTTACGTTTAAACTGTACTTTATCGTACCGCATCGATCCCTATTAGAGTTATAGCAATGTTTTAGCTTTGTTATAAAGATGATAACACAACAAATTATAATAATAGTCATTTTCATTGATCCTCTTTGTATTATGATTTATTTTATAATAAAGAATCGATTTTCTAACTAACTAGTTATTGAGTACTGATAAATAATTGCATACTTGTCGAAAAAGTTTAATAAATCTTTAAAATGCAAAATTTTAAACAAAATTTGTGAATAAATTCTTGATATTAGCGAAACAAGTTTCGAAGAAAAAAATGGCATAAAATTCTTTCCTCAGTTTGTCTATAAAACTTCATAGAGAAATCAAAACGGAATTATACATCTATCGTGGTTACTTCACAACCGCGGTATGCACAAAAACATGTTTGCTCATCACATCCCGTCGTTACCAGCTAAATGAAAAGTAAACGGTGGATATACCGTGTTATTTGCACGACTATAGTCACTACTATATCTACTAATAAGACGAAGTGTGAAATAATTAGAACAGCATAAATCCCGATGTGTTAAAACAATCCTAGAAGTGCGCCAAGTCTAAACTTTAACCATTCTGTTTTTATATATCGAGTTTCTTCACCAATTTACTTAATAATGTTGATAACGATAAATGAGCTTGTATAATGATGGAATGGTGCCTTTTCACCGCGCGCGCGAGATTAAAAAAAAAAAGAGAAATTTCTACTGACTTTCCTTTCTCTAGAATCAAGATTTTTGTTTGATTAATATCAATTGCATTCATTGCGCATTAACAACAAACAAAAAACAAAAGGAAAGACGGAACTGTTATTTTACAGGTGGCACTATATAGCGGGTCTCTTATGCGACAAGGCAATCCATCACCGTGGTCCGTGACGCCGTATTTCGGTAAAACGATTACGCAAGACATGAATTTTTTTCAAAGAATCTTAAACGTGGCGTGTCTGTTCACTCTAAGGATTATGCATTGGTTCACACTTTCCTTCCATCTTCAACCGGTTCTTCAAAAATATCTCGGTGAGACACTAAATCAACTTTATCTGTCGTATCCTGTTGTTCATTGACTTTGATGGATAAAAGTTGTACGCTAATATCTTTACTTTATAACACTCATATAACTCAATGGTACTTTGCTTTTAATAGGTAATCATATACCCGCTGATTTGCACAGTCTGACGAGGGAGGTCCCCTTAACTTTGCAGAACAGTCATTATGGCGTGGGCGATTCTGTACCTTATTTATCGAACGTCATAAACGTGGCGTGCCTCCATTGCAGACCAGCGATGCAATTAAGCTCCGATTTGGAGTCCTTCCTGCGACGCGGTAATTTCACAAGCACATTTCTCTTTCCGTTACGTTACTCTTATTCTCTTCCTTCTCGTTAGATTTATGTGACCGTTAACAAGTGCTCGTTAAAGTGCCTTTTATAAAAAAAGCTCTTCGTAACTTAAAGCTAAACACTCAATTCCGAACAATAGCACTTAGCATTAGCAACAGGCTTTTAGCTTTTATATAATGAAACTTATTTTATCTCTTCCTTAGGATTCCTTAGAAGTATATTAATTATTTTAATCTGAACTCTTTTTGATTGAAGAGTATCAAACACATATAAAATACTATCATTTAAACATCTTTCGCGTTTCATGCAAAAGCTCTGTCCCAAGACAATGAGATTGACATCATTTTGCATCACGTTTATGTTATCTTCTCCTCCACTGGCTCGTGCGACTACTAGCAAACACGCAAGAGAATCTCAGATTGAATGCGTACGTATAGTATCGGGGAGATTGAATAAACATACTTTTGCAGGCTTCGTGTTTGTTTCGATGGGATCGTCAGTGCGGGCTTCCGGAATGCCGGAGGCGCTACGGCAGATCTTCGTTGCGGTCTTTTCTACGCTGCCGTACAATGTTGTCTGGAAGTGGGAGAGTGGTAAGATCAAAGATCTGCCGGCGAATGTGAGGACGGCTGCCTGGTGGCCGCAGCAGGAGTTGCTCGGGCATTCCAAGCTGCGTGCCTTCGTTTCTCACGGTGGACTGTTATCCCTGCACGAAGCAGCTTATCATGGAGCACCGACTCTGGTTCTGCCGGTCTTCTGCGATCACGACGGAAACGCAGCGCAAGCTGGTAAATCCTTTCGTTCTTTCTTACAAAATGTACATCGCCTTAAATAGCGACTGACTCAGAATAATCGTAATATTGGTAAGAAGAAATGTTCGAGTATCATCTTGGAAGAATAATAGGCATGAGACTATACATAAGAGTCAGAATAAAATCGAATTGAGATGAATATTCTAAAGTAAAAGAAATAATTTGCGCGTTGCTAATCGCTCTATATACTCCATAAATATGTCTTACTATAGTTAATGAAATTTTTATTTAATTAATATGTTAGCAGATCGGCAGCGATTTGATTGAATTTGCTGCCGATCTGTCAATATTGCTAACATTTTGTTTACTGGGTAGTTAATGTAGATGAATTATATTAAGTATATTTATTTAACATAGAAAAATTGGGTTACGCTTTGGTAATGGACTTGGCTGGTATAACCATCAATACACTTCGTGAAGGTATACTTAAAGTGGCCGCAAATCGCAATAACTCGTACAGAGAAGCAGCTAAGAAGAGAAGCGTGTTGCTGCGCGATCTGCCGATTGGCCCCACAGAATTGGCTACATGGTGGGTAGAACATGTTGCCAAGCATAGGGGAGCAGATCATTTGAAAAGTTCTATGAGGTAATCTTTTTTTTATAATGTTATTTTAGTTATAGTACTTTTCAAGCATATAATCAAAAACTCCAAAATTTTCCTGGCAATTTAAAAACGAATCTAATATGAAATTGAAGCAATTAAGTAAATTAAATGTAAATTATGTATATTTCAGGCATATGAACGTGGTTCATTATTACAGCATAGACGTCGCAATATTTTATATACTGAGTTTAGTCCTAGTAATTTACGGACTTAAGAAATTATGCTGGCGAGCGGTAATTAACCAAGATGCCTTTAAAAAAAAAATGGACTGATCGAGAATTTCGTAGAGTCCATCGCCAAATCTATTTTATTTATTATTGTGTATAAGACATGATCTATTAATATTAAATATGTTTACGCGTGAAAATGGAGATTACAGAAGCCGAAAGAAAGCCTCGTGATTTTTTGTGAAAATCTTTCGATTGGCACATACACATAAAGCTTCTTAAAGATCTCTAATATATTTTTACAAACTTTAACTATAAGTAGTAATTATAAGTAATCGATTGTACAATTTATAATTTACTATAATAAATGGTTGAATTTGTACATTATCGATAGTATCTAGATAGACATTAATAAAAAATGCACATATATAAAAAAAGTAATCCATGTGAGATATACTTCTATTTTCTTTCATTAAAAAATATATTAACTGCTGATATAATAGAAATCTATTTTTCAGAAGACATTATATTTTGATAAATATTATAACTATTATTTTTTTCTCTGTAAACAACAAATTAAACCTCAGAAACCTTCAGTATCTATCTTCGGTAACTATCAGTACTTTATAACATGGAAATTATTGATATTATTTATAATAATTACAAAAAATTAATTGCAAATTAATAAAAATATTTAACAGCAAAACAATTATATATTCACGATTCACACTAACCATACATATAAAATAGTCACATTTTGTTTAATAGAAATATTCAATATTTGAAATCAAGTAAGATGTGGGTGGAATAAAATTTCTTAATAATGAACATGTAGCAATGCTAGCAGAAAGAAAAACGTAAAACCCGATAAAGGTAAATCAAAAGTGTGACAATTTTAGATGAAAAAAATCCAATGAGATTAATAAAGTCAATAGATATAAGAATTCGCTGCTTTAATCTGCACAAATGAATACACAATCCAAGTAATAATAATTGCAAATCGCAGACATACTTCCATGCAAGGCATACAGAAGCAATAATCAATTGAGAGCGCCGTGACACCTTATCCGATGAAAGAGGGAGATTGTTCTTAAGTTACGAGCATGTCAGTGATAAAAAAAAGAAAAATGGAGCCAAGAGTGAAGCAGAAGTAATCGAAGACAATCTAGTTGTTCACCATCGAGCGTCGCGTATACCGCACCAATTTAATTATTATCTTGTCACAGGTATGTCGATCAGCTTTATCGATTTGACACAGTGGCGTAATGGAAATTGCTATCTAACATCATTAATGATAAACGAATCGATCATGGATAGAGATTCAAGGACCGTGATCAGAAAATATCAGATAATCAAAAAATTATTCAATCGGAATTGTCGATTTAATCAGAATTGTTTTTAGAATATTGATTTTTAAAGAATCTAATCTTTCAGATAGCAAATTTGACATTATAAAATGTATTAAAGATCGTGGTACAAACGAGAATAGAATAATTGTTCGTATAAAAATAAATTGAAAATGTAAAGTTCTTTTTATACAAAACTTTATTTTTGAGATAATCGATTCTAAAAGTTGGAAAATTAATATCTTTCTACTTTGCTAAACTTAAATGGTCTTCAACAATCTTGTGTCACATAATTCAACCGTTAAAAAATTTGGAGCATTATAATTTTTAGATAAAACCGTATAGACACAATTGTTTTTTATTTATCTAGCCACTATGAAATATAATTAATAATTTTTGTTCAGACAAACAATATATTTAAAAATACATTTGCCAAATAATATTTGGAGCAACAATATCTGTTTTTTTTTCTAAATTTTTTCCGTCAAGTTGAAAATCTATTAAATCGACGATCGTTAAACGTCACTGGAGGTGATTCTCCGTAGAAGCTGTACGCTGGCGCTCGGATCGCGTTCTCGCACGCACTACGATGCTCTCACAGAACCGCTGCGTTCGCGGCCGCGTTCGGACGTTGGTGTGTATAATCGCGATTCGATCAGTAGCAGCTGACTCGTTGGTCGGTGTATACGTTATATCGTGCTGCTTACTCGGTAGAAGCGAGTCGTGCGCGCGCGCCGTATTCGAGGGCAGAGAATTTACTCGCGTACAAACAGGAGTCAGTGTGTATGTTATGTGTGTATATGTTCTCGGAAGAAGCAGAGACAAGTGATATGCCGATCGTAGCCTCCGCCCTCGCCGTCGCGAACTATTGCTACACGATCATCGGTACGCATGATTCACGTGCGCACGCTGCAACGGATACTTATGAGGTGAGCGATCCCGTTGCGAAGGGTATGCTTGTCCACGTGATATTGCGCGTTTCTTCGCGAGTCGCGTGACTTGCACGGTACATCTTGCGTTAAAACAAAAGCCGAACGGATGAGCGAGTGAGTAAGTGAGCGGATGAAGAAACGAGCGAGTGAATGAATGCTACGCTAGGCAAACACTCGCGCGTCTCGTTGCAGCAGCGTCGGAATGTAGCCGTCGGAATGAGATTCCCGATGATGCTGATTAGACAACGGACGAAGGGACGGGCGAGTGAAAAGACCAGAGGAGAGAAATGGCGAAATATATAAATATGTACGAGAGGCAGAAGTATTTATGTACGCGCATTAGCGCGTCAGTGAGAGAGGGATGAGACAGGAAGAGCGGGAGGGGAAAGCGGAGCGAATGAGGTAGAAGAAGAACGTGAGGAAACGTCGTCGGTGCGCGTTTCGAGACGCGTTCGAGACTCGTGTGAACGCACGTGGGCACCGAGCACCGGAAGAGCGACGGGAGCATGTGCGTCTTCGCTCCGCGAAAACGGGGGCAAACCGGAACACTCGTGCAACATAACATACGAGCGGTGGATCGATCGCGCGTTGTATCGCGCGACGCGCCGCAACCGACGGAGAAAGGAGCAGCGTTCGCCCCTTAAACGCGGACGAACTTACGACGTGTCGCGTCGCATCTCGTATCCCGCCGCAGTTTATTCATATTGTATTGTACGTGTCGCGTGGCATGGCGTGGCGATGCACGAGAGGACGCCCGCCATCGGGTAGAACGCGGCATTTACAACGCGTTTCTACCCTCTGGTTGGCTTCGGGCGCGTGACGTAATCCATTCAAGCGCTTACTACGCAATACAAGACACGGCCGTTTCTCTCTGTCTCTTTCTCGCTCTCGCTCTCACTCTCCTCCCCCTTCTCCCGGCTGTCTGCCGCCCTCTTTCTCTCTCTTTTTCTCGTTTGCTCGCTTGCTTGCTCGCTCGCTCGCGCTCCATCGCGCCCGCTCAATGCCTGCCGACCTCTCAGCTCCCCACCAACCCCTTTTACCGCCGCGTCGCGTCGCGTCGCGGCGCGCCCTCCTTCCTCTGTTTTGATCGTTCGCCGCCGGCGCAGGGTGCTCGCGCGATTGGGCGAGAAGACCGATCGACGGAAAAAGCGCGAGAGTGACGCGAGGCCCGATTCACGTGGGACGCCGTTGGTTTTCGCCGCTCACCGAGGCCCATCATTCTCTCCGTATATATGCGCGACGTCCCTCGACGGCCGTCTGTAATTCAGAGTGTTTCACGAGTGTGTCCCGACGTGAAGTTAACGTGTCACGCAAACGCCTAGCGAGAATCCGACACCTACGTTCGCCGCTAAATGCGCCGTAAGGAGTCTAAAGGTTGGTGCTCTCACCGCGTATCTACCGCCAACTGTGTGTGACTGTCTGACTGACTTTACTCCACTTTGTTTACCTTACCTTACTCGCTGCACTTACAACTATGTTGATTTATTGTAACGTGAGAATTATGTCAATGTCAACGTAAGCCAAAGAAAGAGTGAGACAATCGCGCGCATTTACTAATAATTTTGCGGTGGGATTAAAAACCGAAGCGTCTCGTGTGCGAGATCCGCCCTCTCCTGTCTCCATCTCTTTTCCTCTCCCCTCTTCCTCCCTTTGCTCCATATTGCGCTTTCTTTCTCCCCGTTACAGCCAATTCCTTAAACCACCATCCAAAGATGGTGTAGGAGTGTGTACGACGATAGGATGATCGAAGGTGCCTGGCTCCCATGAGATGTGCGACGCAATTAAGTTTGTGTACGCGGATGACGCGTCGCGTCCCGACGCCCTTCATGCGGGAAACGTGGGGATGTGCTCGCAGCGTGTTTACAAACACGACTTTTGACCGATAAGATCGATTCGTAAAGAGATCGCAGTCTCAATGTGAATTAGGTGTCGGCAAAATGGATTTTTATTAGACGAGTCTTTATTAGAGCGTCTTTTCCCAATAAACGACACACGCTATCGATACGCATCGCGACAATTCCTAATAAGGAGAGTACGTAACGATCATCACTGACTCATGACTAGCGTTCGATAGGCGTTGTTTCTTATCGAGTCCTAAGTGAGTGAGAGTTGTTGAGTGTGACACGTGTGAAGCCGCGTTATTGCGCAGCATTCCGTAGTTTTCTGCTACAAATAGCCGCGGGCATCTAGGCGTGACGTGTCCCCTTCCCCAAAAATTCGTCTAGTAAACATTTAAGGCATATCCGATGCCCACCTCGCGTCTTATCACACACTTATCCGATCGCGGCGTTATAGTTGCTATTAAATGTAACGTCATTGCGCAGGAAAAGTAATTGACGTCGTTATACACTTTATAGTATAAGCACACTGTATAATATAAATGAGAGATACGTATCATAAATAATATCGTAAAAGAGAAGTAGAGTAATGGTAAGTGGAATATTACGCGTTCTACGAAGGATCAATCGACGGGAAGGCATGGTGCGATGCTTTTGCGCGGTATCGCGTAAGATTGCCGTACCTCTACCCCACATAGCCTCGCGTTGACTTAACGACGCACTTGGTCATAAATCTGTATATGAGCGGCAGGGGAATATGTGTAAGTCGGAAAAATTATTTTCACAAAAGAAACAAAGCGAGTGCAAAGATAAATTGCGATTAGAGATGGAGATCTGTATAATTGTTCGAATTTGTAAAATAACGCTTCGGGTTAATCGCCAATTCACTTTATTGTCATCTTCATTGTCATCTTTCGTTAATCTGTTATTCAAAAGACTTCGGGATCTTTCCAGCATGATTGATCGCGAGCGACAACACCTTATCTCCAAACTAGATAAGTGGTCGTGAAATAACAGCGATCGTAAACATTCAATCATTACAATAGAGATGAAAGAAAGAAAAGCATGAGAGAAGGAAAAGTGGAAGAGAATCCGATTAAGAGCAAACTGGATTCATTGCATTATGTTTTTAAATAATTGTGCTTGGAAGTTTCTCAGTTGGATTTACTTCCCTCTGCTTCCCAGATACAGTAAAATGGCCTGCCACCTGCGGCTGGCCATATTATGAATAGACAATAGCGAGCTTAAACTTGCCGTGGCTTTAAACTATGATGTGAATGAAGTGCCTTCACCTCCACTCAATAATGATAAATATTAAAAAGTTTTTTTCCCACAATGACGACTCTAAACCTGAATTCTTTATTTAATCTGTACATAAATTTGACTGTGCTAAAACAAAAGCAGGCGTATTTTTCTCACGCGTGTTAATGTCATTGGCAATTTCTAGTGTCTATTGTAAAATGTGCATGATGCAAATCATAGTTCTAGGTATTATCTGGATAGAGATATTCGAAACTTCAAACGTTAGATGAGAAATCTGAGTAATGTAAATAGAATCGCGACCACGAATCTTCCATCGACTGTACATCGCGATTTTTATTTCATACTTTAACATCATCTTGGTAACGGACGGTTTACAACCGTACTATAATTTAACAGTTCCTGACTTCTGTGTGCTTATATGAAGATCGCGTTTTATTGCTCATATATCACCAGAATCAGAGAGTCGCATTTAACGACGACATTTTTCGGTATTGAATGACAATCCTATGATTAATCCCTTTTTTTAAAATAAAATTTCTGCTTTTTCTCTCTATATTTACCATGACGATGTAAAGCAAAACTTTGAAACATGTGCTGAAGTGGCACATTTTTAAATGCTTTTAGCGGCATGCTGCTTGCAACAGTATTGATTGGGACGGGACGCAGAACGTCCCGTTCAAAAATCAGAATTGTCCTGAAAGTATTCGGGATGCATTGTCACTGCGTATTTAGCGTTAAATTCGCGATGAAAAAACGCGGATATTCGCCGTCGATCGTCAGCCCGCGTTTTTCTCGCCTCTTTTCACTCGTATTGCGCTTTAATAATCGCAAGATTTGTAAAACTGCATATAATGTATAACATAATGGCTTGTGTACCTTTTAACGCATAACTTTACATATTTCACATTATTATACGATTTTGCGCTTTCCTTGATAACAAGTCGATTATGTGTAGCATTACGAATGGGTTAAGGATCGAATAGGTTAAAGATCGAAAGAAATCAGTTAGCATAATGCTAATATCTATATTATTATTTGGTATTACAAGTGCTGCAAATAATGAATATAAAACGCGTCTATCTAGCTTCTTTAGTTGTTGTTTGAGAAAAAAAATCAAAATTTTTCTTTACATTATTTAGAACTTCTTTCGAAGTTATAAATAAATTATGCTACTTATTTTACAGATGCAACACGAAATTTTGAGAAAAAAATCTTTACTAATGTGATTCGAGTGAAATTTTCGAGATTGCACTTACGCAACCATCAAAATAAATAACTCATGTAATTTAGAATGATAAGTAGCTGTATATATTCTTCGCGCAGCGTGATCTGATAAGTATAGAGTAAATTAACGACCTCAGTAAGCCATTATCTCGACAGTGGCATGCGCGATAAAAACATTGTATATAGTATGCAGAGTGATTTACAACTCGGGAAGATACAAGACGGACAATGCACGTTTTGCACTGAATGAAACTGTCCGCTTCTAATCCCTGCGTTATGCAACGCGGAATTATGTGGCGTTCGCATTCGTAAGCCCACAAATATGATTCCGCAGCTTAAGTCGTGCGAAACAAGAGATATATATTCTATTAGTAACTCTTGAGATTCGACAAGCTCTGGGTGGATTCAATACACGCTCCTTAATTACACATTGCATGACGCGCTCGAATCGATCGCATCAAATCAATATATACCTATTAACAAGTTTCGAGGCTAAGTGCATGCGTTTACCGTCAAAGGTACGGTCTCTGAATATACACGGCTTTAAGACCGAGGCATTGATATTGTTAAACTCTGACAATGCTGTTGTCAACTAACAACGCGATGTTAATAGCATGCTTATAAGTTGCTTCTATTGCTATTCACATTCTTGCTTTCTTTCGTCGCTTCAACACCTATTTATTCATATGAATAACTGTAACGATGGACAGATGCATTAAGAGACTAGTTTTTTTTGTCGTTATTCGAAAGTCATTTTTGTTCTGAAGGTGCACTCAGCGTATAATAATGTCATTAATATGGGATCGTGAATATATATTTCGAAAGTTCTACGATTTTTCAGCACGCATGTTTATGTTTAAATTTTTGTTTGGTGTCACAAAGGCATTTTCGGTGACACTTCCATTGATCAGTCGACATGTTTAGCTATAAAAGTGTATAACATTTTTCATTCCAAATCATACTATTTAGAAAAACGAAATCGTTTTATAGCAAAGTGATATTAATTGTTCTCGCAATATTAAATCTTTTTTGTTTAAAAAAATGCTCTAAAAACACTTGCAAAGCGTTCAATACATAAAAAAAAACTGTTTTAAATTTTAATTGAAGCGAATAAAAAGAACTGTGTAACAATGTTTAAGAAACAGTATAATATTTGAATGACCAGAGTTCATTTAAAGAGAAGAAATATCAAACGAGCGATACGCAAAATACTTCTATCGTTCAAAGGTTAGCATTTCCATTCCCGCCGCCCTTCGTGCACCGCCCACCCCGTCGTCTTCCGCCATTTACGCACTCCTCGCGTTCGACTCCGCGCCCGTAAGTGTACAAAAAGAGACAAACGAGTGCGGAGAGCAAAGGCTGCGAAGAGGCAGACGCCGCTGCCGCTTCGCTCCAGTAATAGTCGTCTTGGCGTGTTGCGACGACGACACACACCAAAAACACGGAAATATTTTTACGGCGTAGTGCGACGCGTCGGAACTTTTGTTCCTGCTACGCTTCTCTCATCGTCATCGCTCTCACTCTCTCATTCTCTCTCTCTCTCTCTGTCACCCGTCCGTCAGTCTGCCCCTACCGCAGGTTTTGCGACCGCTCCTCGCCCCGCCAGAATCGCGTCTTCCCCACCCAACGATATGCCCTCCCTTCATTCCATCATATCTCGCGTGCGAGTAGCAGCATGAATCGGCGGACGCACGGCCGTGTTTTCAAGCGAGTACGTGAGGGACTCGACCGCGTTCGTATCTGTAATCTACGAGAAAGAGTCATTGTCTCTTCTGCTGCTGGAGCGTCGCGGCGCGTCGCGTTGCAACCGTTGGCGCCGCCGCCGTCGCCGCGCTCCCGTATTGCACGTGCCTGCCGTTACCGCGCCGGTGCTCTTCCCGAACGACTAATCGACGAAAGGCGCGTGCTCGTGGCGTCTGCTCGTAGTACCGATTTTCCGGAGGCGTCCGCCGGTTCGCACCAGCGTTTTTCGGCGTCGCCGTCTGCTCCTCCCGCAAGGACGCCGCTGAATGACGGCGACGGCAACGGCCTTCCTATTGATAATAGTGAACGTTCGCGCGAATCAAACCACGTGCGATACGGCCCTGAAGGTGTGTTGCCCCGTGTTGTTTTCGTGTTTACCACGGAGAACCGCATCGCGCCTACGATAGCGTCGGGTGTTATTATATACACATGAAACGGATCTCGTTCCTCTCGTTCGGCTTTCAATGCGGGAAGACGAAGTGAGTAGAAAGGCACTTCTGATAATTTCGTTATGATGTTATATCTTTTCGCAGTATCGTATCAAGATATCGGTCGAAATTAATCCATTATTTACTGTATTAGTGTAGTACTGTTTTACTGTATTATAAAATGCGTAGCGAAACCTAATGCGGATCATAGCTCACGGTTGTGTTCTATTTATAGCGACTACTTTCGTAAAAATATGGCACGAGATACGAAACCACGATTCTTATTCGCAAGTAGATCTTGCATGATATATCATAATTTAAAAATCATGTAGTAAACACATTATATATAATGCTCGTTAACGTGATTTATCGGTGTATTTTTCTTCGGATCAGATATTCGTAGATGTAATATACAGGATATCCGACCTTTATCGCGTTCAGAATCTTGATGAATTCTTTTAGAAATTCATAATTTCCTTGACGATGTATACATCCTGGTTTATAAAATCGATCAATTTACATTGTATTGAAATTTCATTAAATTTTCTACTTATTGTCTCTTTTCTCTTATTTGAGCAATTTATTTCTAAACACTCGCTCACTCTTTTCTAACATGTGCAACAGCGAAACATGGAGATAAGAAAAAAAATTTACGCAGTTGTGATCAGTTGTACAGCATTAGTTAGATCTACGTGAAAAAAGTCCATTTAAGCGTCACGTAAAGAATGTACAAAGATATGACTTAAACATTATGTAGAAATGGTACATATAACAGAAGAGAAACGAAGACCTAACACGCAAATCTAATTACCATTATAATTAACACAAGACGGAAACATAGTGGAAAGAAAGAATAAAAAGAGAGAATTTTTTTATATATAGTTTTCTCTGATCGAAAGGATCATAGCGCATGAAATACGACTTTAATCGGTTGTTTACATAGCAAATCTGAGCTGTTAAGCTAGATGTCCACTCGAGCATTTTAGTATTGAGAATCGTCTTCAGAGAAAAAAATATCCGGAACTGTTTCTCTGTGATTTCGATGAACAGGGAACATGTTTTGATCTTTTTTTCTTTCCTTTCAAACAGCGAGCGTGCACATTCAGAAAGAGTACCTATATCTCTCATTTTCATTTACTTTACATATCTGACAACTAGAGAGGGAACGTTCCGTACCGTTTCCCGGTCAAATGTAATTTAAGGTAAAACTCGAAAATCCCACGAGAAAGTTAACTGCAATTATGCGTTTACCAGACACTTCTGCAATCGAGAGCGCTTTTCAGAGAGCAAATCCCATGAGTGTACGCCTAGTTAAATATTCTGCGCGAATGAAATCATTATTAAATCGACTCCTACAGATTGCGTTCTTTTGCTATCGTATATGAATCAGTTTGTACGCGCAGACATTTTTAATTAATAAACATTAAGCGACGAAAAGCGCAATTTACGTTTTTCTACGCTGTCTGTGCGCGGAAGATTAATGATCCTTCATTAGCATGTAAAATGCAAATCGCAACTTTACTGTTTAACCAAATAAGTGGTTTTTCTTCTTCTATAGTCGGCAAAATACTTATTTTTACAATAACAGCTTATCGTTAGAACTGATTAATACTATGATAAATGACTCATTTAATATTTTTCACGTTCTGACGACTTTTTCATCGATATTGGGTTTGAAATAACTAGTTTTATAAATATGCGTAAGTTTTTAAATTTAAAACTTTAAAGCGAAATAAATAAGATGAATGTATAAATAATTCTTTCCGTCAATATTTTTGTGCAATCATAAAGTCTTCATGCAAATATTGTTAAATGCGATATGCTTTAATTTGCTAATAATTATATAAGTAATCGACAAAATTTTTTTATAACTTACAGAAGGACTTGGTACATTTAATGTATACACGATTTACACGCTATTTTTGTATTTTACATTGGCAATTATTCAAACAAGGAGAAATAGCATCCAAGCGTGTAAATAAAAAAATCAAATAATATTTTTGTGGTATTTCTTGCACAAACAGAAATTGAATAGTTCTCTCATTCGTTATTTTCACGCTTGTAGCGTGGTTATACACGTGGTACACGTATCGTGCAAAAAACATCGCGGAAAATTTTCCGAAAACTCTTTCGGAAGTTTATATAGCAGTTCGAAAATAAAAATATCACGTCCCGAAAATTGTCACTGTAAACTCACTAACCGGTTCCCATCATAAATGAGGCCACGTGAAACACGGAATTTTAGTTGTGGTTGTGGCGTCTTTAACACTGCTCCATTAATAGAACTTCTAACTTGAGTCAGCGAAATGTTTTTTGTCATAAACATATAGAAACCCAGTGAAACGAATATTCGTTCAATATATAACAAGACTTTTTATTTCAATTATTTTTTCAAGTAGGAATTTCTTAAATTCCGAAAAATGCAGAAATTTCAACATTTGATTATCATAAAAAACTTCCACACACATAAAAATCCACAAAATTTGAAATATTTTAAATTTAGCAACAAATGCATCTAGCATTTTTAGAATGAAATATAAATATGATGTGTCAGTATTGATGATAATATCACTAGAACCATATGTATATTCAAAGATGATATTATTAACATAATATAGAAATGGATGGTTGCAAGTTGGAATTGTGGTGACACGTGATATTCAAAGTTATAACAAGAATCTGTAACGCGAATAAACTTCCATCTCTGACTCGAAATTATATGATGTGTATATCATTGATATACATATATGTTAAATGTGAATAAGATCAATATTCGTATTCTATTAATTTAACAATTACTAAATGTTTGTAGAAAATAGTTTTGCTTTCATTACTTTTCAACGAATCAAATTAAATGCAAAGCTTTTCGTTAAACAAATTTTGCCACAATATTTATCTTACATGTGATTAGAACAAGTAACTTATATTGGTGCAAAAATTGCATTTTATAATTTTGTATCAACTTCCATTTTTACATCACGGCCTAGTTAGCTCATTCGATTTATAATATTTTACGAGAAGATAAATTTTTTAAGATGGGTGCAGTCGGGCGAACCGACACGGAAATGGCTTTCGTCGCAAAGATAGGACTACTCTGACGCGAAGATTCCGTAACAATATTATACACGGCGAGGCGAATTTTCGAAGATGCTTATGTTGGCACGAAATATTGTCGCGGTAGCTCTTGAGCACTCAGGACAGGACGGCAGCAATACAAATATCCGTAGCGACGGTGTAAGTACTTTCGAGCGAAGCGAATCCACAAAGTTTGAGTTTGCTCGCGCACGAGACATCGCGACGTCGGAAGTGTCTCTTGTCGCAAACTAGAATTCTAACGATACGGATATTCGCCTACGTGTACGTGTACCGCGTTCAGCGTTGTTCCGACCGATTCTTGTTTTCATCTCATACGTGATACGAGAATTTCCATTTGCGAAATCAGCGGCATCGTCGAGTTATTTAATATAATACGAATGAAACGTTATAGCAGCACAAAAAATTTTGGGACATAGTATTACGTTTTCTCATTCCTTCTTCCTTTCTGCTCTTTTCAATATTCTATTGTAATTTCTATAGAAAGTTTTAAAAGTTACTGATAATATTTGATATCATTTTTAAATTATAAAAATATTTTTCCAACGACCGTTATTGACAATGAAAACTTTATGGTGATTTAAAAGTGATGTTGATTTTTGATTAGATTGCTAAACATAAATCGATTTTGTAAAATTTTTTTATGATACTTAGGAAAATTAAATTTATGCAACTAAAAATTTTCAATGTTTTTCACTTTTTAAAATGAGGAAACTTCATAATCTTATTTAATTCATTTAAATATAAGTCTTCTTTTCGAGCAAAATAATAAATTCAATGCATTACACAATGCAACGAGGCAGAATAATTTTTGTTTATGTAATTTATAAATATAGATTAAAAGTTAAGCTTCAATCATTATAATTATTGTCAATATATCATAAATAAACATTTAATCATATAATATAAAAATTTACCAACCGATGTCGCGTCGTTACAATCCGTTGACTCCCCCGTTGTGATTCGTTGACCTCACCGTTATAATTCTTTGACTTCACCGTAATCCGTTGACTCTGCGTTGCAATCCGTTGACTTTGCCGTTGCTCCGAACACACACTTGTAAGACGCCAATTATCACTTACACTACGACTAATCACTTCACACGGCACTCCCGAACAAACGCAACACACTTTCAACGCGAAATATATGACGACTCCGAACTTTTTGTTTCAAGTACGACGTAATTCTGTCTATTAACGAATTCGGTAACGTCCGAAGTAATATCACTTGCCTTTACTATCACGTCGACTGACAATACACACGACACTCCCGACATGAATTTATTACGATAAATAAATAATGATCATTGATCGTAACTTTGCGCAATACTTCGTTCGAGATACGTTTAATTTTTAAGACTGAAACAATTTTATATTACATTTAAAAATTCAGTAAGACAACTGAAAGATTAAGGATTAGGTTAGGTTAGGTTAGGTTAGGTTACGCGCCGACTTGCTCCTCACAATGTTTGTTACACAACTCGACATTCGATACTCCCGTCATCACCAAGATACCATCTAAGATTGGTTTTCCGAATATCGAAAGACCGATAATCACGACGACTGCATGCTCTAATTAACACTGCACTGTCGACTGCAAACTTGCCAACTGCTCAGTGCGACTTCCGAGACGCGTATAAAATTTCAACGTCGTACCGATGCTCGATAATTCAATGTTCAATGTTCGACACAATGTTCGACGAGCTTGATTTTGCCGAAAAAATGTTGATCGTAACCGTACATGCTAATTAACGCTTCACGGTAACTATCTGTCGTTGAATTTAATATTCCCGACGTTTATTTACACGCAGAATTTACTTCGACAAAGAAAAACGCGGATGAAATAGGACGATGCTCTTCTGTGTCCGATACTTTCGTCATCATTCTATGAACTAATGAACATTAGATGCGCAACTGCGTTCTGGTGGTAAAATAATTGAAAATTTGAAAACGGGACAA